CCCCAAAACCCCAAAACCCCAAAACCCCGCATTGTTTAAGTTCTGTTTATAAAAGAGTAAGTCTTTTATAATTTACAGGCGAGTATGTATATATTTACTTAATCAATGCAATTCTAGATTAGTCGTGTCTAAAAATGAATCATACCTGCGAATATCAGAGGGCATCTTAAAAGCATTTCCATTTGATAGGTTTTCATTATTTCCACCTTTATAAGCTTTAAATGTACCCTCAAATTCTTCCCCTCCATCCTCGTTAATTAGTCCTAGTTTTGGAGCCATAAATTAATCTTTAGTCTGTCTCATCATTTAAAGATTTTATTGGCTGTTCTTAGAGTTAATATGTGGAATTCTACCCTATGAACTAGATATTCTATTCATATCTTGATTACTGGGCTTGGGATCACTCTTTAAGAGATCAAAAAGTAAGTTATCAAAGTTTTTAAGTTCTTCACCACCCTTTTCTTATTTTGGTTCTTACTAATATTGTCTTTACTGATTGCCACTGTTATAATTTTCAAAATTATTTTGATATTTACTAGGCAGTTCATAGTTTTTGACATCACCAAAGTTTACCTGAGTATTTTATGTTAAATCTAGATCAGTAAAAACTTAACCCAGCTTTGCCATTCTATCTTCATTCCTTTTGTTGAGGTTTTCTAGGTTAATAGAGTTTAATGTCCCCATTGTATTCATAGTTCCCTCTAGTCCTAAACTTTTGCCTACATCAGGATTATTCCGAGCTATAACACCTAAACCTTATGAGAAAATATCAGGGGTCTCGTTATATTAGGTTGGGAAACTTTGCTGTTTAATTTGTTGTTTATTACTATTATTTTGATTGAACTATGGAACTTTATTATAGTCATTTTTAAGAATTTAAGTCTGAATTCCTTCATAAGGAGGAATCTACGGTAAATTAAAGTTAATACCGATATCAAGTTTATCTGCTAATCCACCCTCATCTTTCTTTGGTTTTTTCTCTCCCCCATTAACTATTCTTTCAATGAAATCCATTGTATCCTCATTACTTTATGTATCTAATCTTACATTTCCTGCACCCAAATCTCTTAGTTGTTCAAAATATGAGTATCCATTGTTTTATTTATTTTCTTTTTCAAAGGGGTTTGAGTATGGATTTTTTTATTATGGCATTTATTGAACTTGCTTTTACTCTGGGATTTAATTCATTTTTTAGTTTCCATTGATTGCACCAATCGGAAGCAAACTACTTTATCCATCTAATGACTCTCCTAGATCAATTTACTTTACATTATTGATCATGGAATCACCTCTTTTCATTATTTTAGGTTGATACTACTACTAATCGTATGGATTATAAGTTTTGAGATCTGGGTTGAAAAGGTCTTGATTAAACTATACTAATTTTTCTTCTTTTAAATTATATTGAGGTCTCTGCTATTAATCTCTTGATTAACTCTAACTTTTATTTGGAACGTTGTTAAAGAACATTTTTTCATAGTTATTAATTTCTTTTTTTCTTTAGCTATCTCTTGATTCTTATCTGCTTCCTCCAACTTTTCTTTGATGATTATAGTAGGAACTATCTAATTAAAATCCGTTGTTATATTCAGGTAGCATTTGTTAAGATCCAGGAAATCCTTGACCTTAATTTAGACTATTAACATCATTCCTGATAATTTATGGCTTTGCTAATAAATTAATTCCACCTGGCTTATCATAATTGTTAAGCAAATCTAAAGGAGCGGGAGGCTTATGAGGATTGTGTTTATCTAAAGCAGTGAATAATTTTTGTTCTTAAAGTCTCTCAGCCTCCCTTTAAGCTTTTAATTCAGCTTTTACTTTCTCTATTTCCGATAATGCATCTTATTTCTGGTGATTTGAATGGTTAGTTTCAACTTTTAATCTTTCAAGCTGTTCTCTAAATGCTCTTTATTAGCTATTCATTTCTTCTCTTAGCTTGCCTATTTCCTCCCTGAAATTAGTTTTCAATTCATTACTTATTTCACTTATTATTCTTGTTTGATTCATTCCTGGGCTAGGTTGCTCTAATTAGAAAGACTATTGTCTATTACCCTTATTTTAAGTTTAATGATCTAGACTATCGTTCATTAACGGATTTATCACACTCTAATTTTGTCCGAAAATGTCAACTTTTTTTCCTGGCTTATCAACAACAAAGTTTTAAAAATTATCTTCTGCGATCTAAACCCTTTTCTTCGGCTAACCTTTATTTTCTACTAACTTAGCATTTTCTTGTTATATCTCGCTGAATTTTGCTTTTTTCTTGTTCTCTTCTTACTTGAATTCATCCTCCATTTTTTACCTTTCTTTTCTAATTCTTTCCTCTTCTCTTGCCTCTTCTTCTTTCTTTTTCCTTTATTCTTCCTCTTTTCTTCTTTTTTATTCTTCCATTTATTGTCTTAAGACATCGTTAAGTTACTTTTTTTAATCTTTTTACCTTTCTTTATCAAATTCATTATATGCTCCTATTCCTAAACTGTTTGCCTGATCTTAGGTGGGCTGTGCTTAATTTTTATTCAAATCTTTAAATGCGTCATTCTGAAATTGGAGACTTGGATCAGGTGCTCTCATTTTAGGGTTTCCAAATTATTAATAAGGGGATGATTGAATATCAATTTGGTTGAAAGGCTATGGTTAGCCTATTGGAGGAGGAATTTAAAAATTGTTCATTGGCATTTATATATTTTGTGCAGGTAATATCTAAGGAATAACCATAGGATTTATGTCAGCTTACATATATTATGGTACTTATTAGTTAATTTAAGGCATAATCATATTTTGTTGAAACTATTGTTGAGGATTCATCATTCCTTAATATGGGTCTATCATCATTTAATTTTGATAGGGTGATTGTTGCATTTATTATCTTTGCTAATTTTGGCCGTTATCCTAAACAGGCTTTCTCTGAGCCTAAACATTCCCCAGATTATCTCTTACAGGGGCGCCTGCACCTCCTTTTCCGAATGGATTATAATTCATATTCTTTTATAGTTCTTCCCTTTCTCTTCTGATTCTATCTTCTTTTTCTCTTTTCTTTTTTTCCTCTTTTTCCTTAATTTCATTTTAAATCTGCATCAAGTATTCTTTTTATTTTTGGGCTTTCTCTTCTTGCATCTGGAGCATTACTTGTTATTATCTCTATGAGTCATTTTAATTTGATTGTGGTTATTGCTACTATTGTTACGGTTACTAAAACTAAATATTCTGAGGCTATTATTAGTAGCTTGGAGTACTTATTGGCTAAAAGTTTTGAATTGGGGCTGGTGCGTTAAATTTTTACTCAAATTAAATTTACTACTGACCATAAGGATTGCTGTTTTACTATTGGAAGCTATTATTCTTGAAAGCTTCATTCTGATTGATAGACTAAGGTTGATTAAATGCTCCATTGTTTTACATCTAAAACTAATTAGGCGTTTACCTCTCAATAATTGGTTGGGGATTGAAAAAAGGGTCTTGCTATTATAGAGCTATCTAAATATTTTATCTTACTTACTAGGCCTACATCCAACCATCATTACTTTCTTATTTTACAATTTATTAGTGTGGATAATTAATCTGAGCCATTGGTGGAGGTAAATTTTAAGGCTAAAACTGATTGTTTTATTGATTAGGAAAGTTAAAGTCTTGTTAGGGTTATGGATCTCTCTAAAAATTTTGAGGGGCTAAATCTATTGTTGGAGTTTTATTGGCTTAAGGCATTATAAACTTTTACCTACTGGCAGGATTCATCTAATCAAGCAAGCCTGCTGCTCCACCCCCATTATCTTTGTTCATACCAGGGTTAACAATATCAAGTTTCTGTTTTCTCTTTTATTCCCAAAGTAGATCTCTTTTGCTTTTTCCTGACACTTCTTAACTTTAGTTCTAGAAATCATTATTTTGAACGAATCCCCCTGATGCAAGATTAGGATTGGGCCCAAAGAGATTAGGTTTATTAGAAGCTTATGGAATATGTATATTAAGCTAATTATTTGCTCCGAATAACCCCTTATCCTACTAGAGTGCACTTTCGAAATCAAGTTTGTTTAGCATTATTTTGAAAGTTTTTCTAAATTTATAATTATTAAAATAGAGTAAAATACTAAATGCTGACTAAATTCAGTTATAAGGGGTTTTGGGGTTTTGGGGTTTTGGGG